AAAATCATGACGGATGTAGAAAATTTCAGCCATTCATCAACCAATAGGATCTAATTGACATTTATAAAACATTGTCCACTGATAACAGAATATATGTTCATTTTAGGTATCTACAGAACACAGACCATATTGTGGGCAATAAAACAATCTCAATAAATGTAAAAGGATTCAAGTCATACAAAGTAAATTTTCTGACTGCAATAGAATTGAATTATTTTATTATTCTAATAATGACATCCATCACCAAACCACACCCGCTAGCTCTGTATCTAGTGTTGTACATTGTAAACCTCATTGGGACTCCATTGCCCCTAGAATTTCTCTTACCTTCATTTAGTTGAGGAAACTTAGGTTCAGGGAAGAAGTGACTTCAAGATCGCTCAGGTACTTCATAAATACTCATTTGATTGGTTAAATGTAATGACACATAACAACTTTTTCTGGAATAGTTCCTCACACTGGAAGTTACTACCTACTGAGTACCCAACATCTGTGAGCCCCTCCTGAGGTTACCTAGGTGTCTCTCTAGTCCCCCCTCCTTTGCTTCCCAGCACCTTGCATTTTGTACATCTTGCAAAGATCTAGTAGTTACATTCTGCTTCCTAATTGTGCCGGAGCTCCTCCCAGGGCAAAGGCCAGATCTTATCCCTGACAGTTACTTGGGTAGTACTGAATGAATAAAGGAGCAGATGTTTTTTACTAGGACATTGCACCTGGAATTAGCAGGGGCACTGCTGAGCTCAGATGGGTAATCCAAGGCTTTGGAATTTTCTGCCCTTTGTAAGGAGGTCTTGAGCCAGTGGAGCTGCTTGATGTGTGTGTCTCTGTCTCTTGCCTATTTTTCCTCTCTAACACCCCAGACTACTGCCCACCCTGTGCTCCTGAGATGGGTGGAGCACGAACGCTTGCTTCTGTATTTGAAGCTTCCTGTTGTGGTGTGACTCCAACCGTGCTTATTATGCATACATTTCTTTTTCCTGATTTTATATCCATATTTAAATCATGCTTGAGGAAGTCATTTATTGAATTCCTCAGGCTCACTATAGAAAGTATATGAGATCTTTGATAAGCTTAATATATTTGTATTAAAAATTAATATGAAAGCCATATTGTCTCCCAACTTTGAATCACAATTTGATTTGATTCATTTTATTTAATATATGGCAACCATTCTAAAATTACTTTTAAAAAAATGTGATGAGATTGAAATCAGTTCTGGGGACCCTTTCTTTATTCCTCAGTGAATCATGTGCCTGTCTGGTGGCAGGCAATCTATGCTGCCATTTCTTCTGTGACATTTAGAATATATACATGGGTGCAGCACCTCCTCCTCCTGGGAGCTTTCAAATGAGCCTTCTGTGAAAGATTATGTGCAGGCTCTTTTTAAATGCTACCGTTCAAAAAATAAAATTTAATGGAAAGAGATAAGCTTTTCCCAACACAAGCTGGCTCCAATTTTATATTTCCTTAATCTGTTTTGTATGCTGCTGCAGGAAATTAAACTGAAATTGTCTTCTCTGACATGGTGCGTATGGCATTGGGGAGGTGCTGAGTCAAGGGAGATACAGCTGCTGGAAACAGTTGCTCCGGTGTGTCAGAGATTTAGTGTTAACTTTTTTTCATCTTCCCACTGGACTGAAGAGCTGTGCCTGGGGCCACATCACAGCGAGCAGCTCCAGGTGATATCCTGGACAAGGATCAGGTGTGCACCTTCTCCATCAGGCCTGGCTGTAGCTTCCTGTCCACCCAGCGTATCCCCTCATGCATACGTGCACGCCCACAACATGACAGTCTCAGACATACTCTGCATATAACTGAGTTTCTTCTTTCTTTCCTGTTCTATGTCTGCCTGTCACTCAGAAGAATATAATATTTATTAATCATCTATATTTAATTTTGTATTTTAGACAAATGATGTAGGTTTTTTCAGTATCTCCAGATTAGTCCTCTGTCCCCGCCAACACCCGTTACCTCACTGCTTCCTGCCTTCCTGGGGAGGAGATCCGAGGAACTCAGACTCTCACACTGCACCAAGGCACCCGCCACTGCCACTGCCCAGGGTCACAGTTGCCACCAAGCAATACAGTGCGAAACACAACCAGCAGCATCTTCATCAGAAGACCTCAGTGGTCCCCAGAGAGTCTCAGAAGCCACATCCAGCAGCCCCTGATCCTTCTTTGTCATTGTGGGCTGCTTTTTGGTGGAGGATACCATGGATAATGGGATAGACAGGATGACAGCTATGTGGTGCCCTTCGGTCCCCTTCTCAGACCACACCATCCTGAGAACAGTCCTTCCCTAACAAAAATATGTCAGACTGGCTGGTCTCCAGGCCCTCCAGTGGGCCAACAGACCAGGGTAGTCCCAGCTGGGGCTCTGTGACTCCAGAATGCTGGGCTCAGGCCCCCTGTGGATGCTTGTCCTCCTGTCAGAGGGCAGGTCTATCCTGCAGTGAACAAGAGGACTCCAGATCAGTGGCAGTGAACTGTGACCTTTGAGAGATCTTATTCTTATAGCTGGACAAGGTGAAACTTGTGACCAGAACCAGTAGAAAGAGAGTGAAGAAGAAAGAGTTGAGCCAGGACATTTGAAAACAGGCGGGTCGTCCGCAGACTGTCATGCCAGCAATAAGACGGTTTTGTCATTTAGTCTGAGGCAAATCACACAGACGCATAGACCTGTGCGTGGAGAACCAGAACCAGGAGGCAAAGCAGCTGCTATCTGCCTTCTGAAAGCAGGCCCAGCCCTGGACAAGCCCTGGTCGGCAGAGGGCGCTGTGCAGGCAGGAGGGAGGCGAACCCAGGCCCCTTTCAAGGTGGAGGGCAAGGGGCCCTTCTGCGAAAAGTGTTTCAGGCCCAACTTCCTCTCCATTTGTCCTCTGTCGTGTCACAGCACAGCCGGCCTCTGCTGCATGAAAAGGAAGAGTACATCTAACACAGCTCTGAAGTGTGAGGATTTCCCAGGCAGAGAGTGCTGGGATTTCAGGCCTGGCCCAGAGGTCTGTTCCTAAGCTGCCACCTGGAGGAGCTCACAGCGCTTGGCTGCCCATGAAATGGGCAGCTCCCAGTGCCTCCCCTGTCCTCCATGCTGCCTCAGGATCTCTTGGCATTCACTGTGCACCCACAGCGCAGACACCTGGAGGTAGTGAATCAACATGCATCTCAGCCCCAGCCTCCTCCTGGGACCTTGACTGCTGCTGCAGGTGGCACTCGTTGCCCTGGCTCCATGAGGGGAGCTCTCTTCCAGCTGAGAGTTTCCTGCTCTTCTCCCCTGCCGGGCAGCTAACTACAGACCACCTCTGCCTGCTTTTTTTGTTTGTTTGTTTGTTTCGTTTTTTTCTCCCATATAGGGAACTTTTTAAAGAAGCCAGGAGCACAGGCTGAGAGCCCCCCACCCACCCACCCAACTGCATTGCTTCTCTGGCTTCAGTCTCTTTGTTGACAGGAAGGGCGCTCACTGTGGGAAAGAAATGAGAACAAATGGGCCTCACACCACGACCGACGAGGTGCTCCCTCCCTCCAGAACCCTGTGCCTCTTTAGATGTCCATACTCTATTCCACCCCCAAGAATTTACCGCAAGTAAATATTTAACAAAGGCAAAAAAAATGTTGTAGGCCAGAAGATCTGTATCATGGCATAATAAAAAATGAGAAGATTTAAATTTTTAAGAGTACTTTATTAAAAATGGTCTATAAACATAATGACATTAATTGTGTAGAGCCATTAAAATGGTGATTGTTCTGCCTATAAATTAACAGTGAGTAATGAATAGTTGCTGTTATTCTCTGAGTTACTGTATTGATTGTTCACAGCTCAGGGCATCTGAGACTCTCCTAGAGAACCAGCCTGGCTCCCAGAGAGCACGGTTCAGTGGATCACGTTTGGGCTCTGGGTGACTCTTGGCACCGCCAAAGGGATACTAGGTCACAGCCACAACTGAGCCTCAATGCTGTGTGCAGGTGCTTTGCTGGGTGCTAGCAGAGTCACGTTCTTCCCTTGCCCATGCAGGCCCCATTTGGGCAATGCAAAATGGTGCTATATGTCTCTAATTTATCGCCAAGACAAGGTATTCTGGTTATTTAGTGCTCCCTAGCCATCCGAAAACTCTATAGAGTAAAATGACAACAAAATTATGCTCACAAAGTGTGTGGGTCAGAAACGGGGATAAAGCACAACAGGAACCACTTTCCACCTTTCTATGATATCTCCTGTTTGTCTGGAGAGACATTGTCCGGAGTTTCTCTGGGCTGACTTCTCGCTAGGCCCTGGGACTCCTGGAGGCTGCTTGTTCTGTGTGCTCCCGGATGTACTGGCCAGAGTGCTTCAGGACAGGACTCTCAGCCCACGCATCACTCCCAGCACAGAAGCTCGAGTTCCAGGAGCAAAGACAGCTGAACGAGGTAGAGGCTCCATAAGCCATGGCCTCCTGCGGCTCGCTCTACTCCCACTCTGCTCTCCTGTTGTCACAAGCCCACCCTAACTTCAGAAATATTTTAGAGGGAGAATTGGGAAGATTTAGTGACAGGCTGAAAGTGGGAAGTGAAGGAGGGGGAGCCGTGCTATTGACCTCAAGTGTTATAAAGGACGCAGCACTGTGTGTGTATAACAAGAACAGTGTCCATCTGGGAGACCCGAAGACAGCAGGCAGAACAGAAGAAATTATCACAAGGAGGTAGAAACATTGTACTTTTTCCTTTCCTGTGAGTTAATCATCTCAGAAGTAATTCTTAAGCACCTGTAACCACCCACCAAAACCCATGTGCTGAAACAGCCCCTAAAGGTCACTGTGATCACTGGACGGACTGAGTCCCCGTCTGCTTTCCGAGTATCACCTGTCACACGGGGGCTCAGTTAACCACGGAGGAGCGAGCCTGTCAGACACTGCTCCCCCTGTGGACCTGCGGGTCACCAGACCCCAGCATCATGGAGAAAACAGGAAACAGACGGAGACTCACCTGTCCGTGTTGGGGTCTAATTTGTCTGCTCTCCTTTCCCTTTAGGCTTTTGATATTATGCGAGTGACACATGGCAGGGAACACAGCCTGATTGAAGATTTAATTCTACTCCTAGAAGATTGCGACGCCAACATAAGGGCATCCTGAGAAAGCAGGTGGAGAGAGAGCTGGCCCACACCTTTACTGAACACCTCACCAGGGTCACAGTCTGCAGCTCGCTGTGTGAATCGTCCCTATTGAAAGCGCTGTTCTGTGTTTGACTAGGTAAATAAAGGCAGGCATAGTTTGCCAACTCTAAGCATCATTTGTCATAGTGAAGCACAATTATAATAAATATGGAAAAAGTTGAAGATGCCATGTTTTGTTTGTTTACTTAGTGCCGATTTTAATGTTTAAGATCACACCATTCCAGATTTTTAAAAATCCTATTAAAAGCATGACAGAATGAGTTACAGTTTTCTCTTTGAATATATGTAGAGATAGTTGGATAAAAATCACTATATTCATATTTGCTTCCAAGCATAAACTTCATGTCCACTTTGGCAAAAGTAGAACTTTTTATTATTTATTTTTGATTAACATATTAATTGCACTTATTAATGGGATTCAGTGCAATATTTTGATGCATGTATACAATGTGCATTGTTCATATCCAGCCTCCTTTAGCCCCCTTCCACTCTCCCCCAGTTCCTAGCTTCTCGTGATCCGTGTTCTACAGTGAAGTCAAGTTTTTTTTTCCTTTGACTTCCACATATGAGAGAAGCCATGTGGTGCTTGTCTTTCTGTGTCTGGTTTGTTCCAATTAATATAGTAATGTCCAGCATTCATTTTGCTGTGTATAATAGCATTTCATTCTTCTTTTTGGTAGAATAATGCGTGTATAGACAACATTTTCTTTATCCATTGCTTGGTGGGCACCTAGGTTGATTTCATATCATGGCTATTGTGAATAGTGCCACAATAAATATGTTGGTTTGTTGATTTCCTTTGGCTGTATACCCAGGGAATAGGTAGATCTATGTAGTTTTTTGAGGAACCCTCTTACTGCTTTCCATAATGGTCATGGTAATTTACATTCCTGCCAACAGAGTGTGGTAGGAATTTTGCTGCACACCCTTACCAGCATTTTTGTTTTGGGTTTTAAAAAAAATAATACCTATTTATTTTGAGTGAAGTGGAATCTCATAGTTTTTTTTTTTTTTTTTTTTGCATTTCCCTGATGACTAATGATATTGAGTCTTTTAAAATATATTTACTGACCATATATATTTCTTTTGAGACGTGCCTATTCAGATAATTTGCCCATCTTGTAATGGGATTATTTGGAGTTTGTTTTTAAAAATTCTTTATATATTTTGGATAGTTAACAAATACCTCCTCCCAGTGAGTAGGTTGTCTTTTCACTCTATTATCTCCTCTGTCATTCAGAAGACTTTTAGTTTGCTACAGCCCCAGTTGTTTTTCTGTTCTCTCCTTGCTTTAGGGGTCAAACTCAAAACACCATTGCCTTGTCAGTGGGTTTTCCCTATGTTTTTGGCAGTCATTTCAGTTTCAGGTGGTCTTTGATCCATTTTAAGTTCATACGTGCACAGCATGACACAGAGGACTCTAGTTTCGTTCTTTTGCATGAGTGTATCCAGTTTTTCCAGCACCATCTATTGAGTAGGCTGCATGTTTTTGGTGCCTTTTTCAAGAATTAACTGTCTGTAGATATGTGGTGTAGTTTCGGGGGTCTCTGTTCTGCTCCATCGATCTGTGCATCTGTGTAGAGGCCACGCCATGTCATCCTGGTTACTCTGAGACCCTGTAAAGGTCTTGAAATCAGGTATTATGATGTCTCCAGCTTTATTCATTTCAAGATGGTTTTTACTCTCTAGGATCTTTTGTGAAGAATTTCACAGAATTTGGGAAATTCTGTGCAAGATTTTGAGACATTTTTATTCTTTGTGATAAATAATGAGTGTATACATTACTTGTTTCTAAATACATATCCAACACAAAATATTTTTATCCTAAATTCTAGAAAGAAATAATTTTAAGTGTTAAAAAAATAGGAAGCCTTAATTTTTTAAAAATTCCAGCCAATCTCTCATGACTCTTTGGTAAATCTTCCTCATGAACTCCAGGTGCTGACCTCGCGCTCCATGACATTTTTTTCTGTCATTCCCCAAATCTTTGGTTCAGTGTGTGATGGGCCCAGTATAAAGCGCCTTTATCTTTCAGTGAGCAGGATTCTAGCATCCACTCAAATCAACTTACTCTCTTTTCTTTTTTCTCTTTGCCACTTTGCTGTTTCTCCATCTTTAAACTTCTTTTCTACTTTTCTACTTTAGACTAATTTTTAAAAAACTTAAAAGTCTTTCGTGACTCACTGATCCTGGGAGCAGTGTAGTCCTTCATGCTTGGATGAGACTCAGGTAGTGACTCAGCCCTGGGGTCCCCGCAGCGCAAAGACATCTTAAAGAATGTGCCGCTCTCCACGCCATATTTTACAAGCAAGGTGACGCGATGCTGAGTGATGGCCGAATCCGGAAGGGCAGCTCATGCTCCTCAGCCCTCACGTAGGGGACAGCAAGTCCTCCAGCCAGTGGCAGTCCTGTGACATCAGGATGCCATGTGGATCTCTGAAGGAGCCAGTCTTACTTTGTAACAGAGAACGCTGACAACTGGAAAGGACAGACTGCTGAACACAGGTGATCCCCAAACATGCAGGGTGTCCTACGTGCCAGGGTGTTCCAAGGCCTCTTCATAAGCTCGGTTCTGCTCAAACTACCACTTGTCACATATCAGCCACACCTCTGAAGCACACGGTATCTCCAAACTTCAGTAGCACCAAAGGTAGGTATTTTTATGTGTGAGGAAACTGAGACCTGGTGTCAGGTACTCGGGAATCCCTCGATTCACTAAATGATCTTGAGAAGAGGATGCAATTGCAAGTCTTGGGGAGGCCAGTTCTACCCATTTGAACATATTGAATCATTCCTTTGTATTAAGGGAAACAGAATACAAAAAAATCAAATAAGACTTGCTCCCATCCTCCAAATGTGTACTGTCTGGTACAGTTCATGTATCAGTTAGTGTTCACTATACAATGAGCTACCCCAAAATGTAGTTTCTCAAAATCGTTCGTGTTTCTTTAGCTCAGACTTACGTAAGCAGCACTGTGAGCTGGACTGTTCTGGTTTGGCTCAGTGTGATTATTCATAGTTGTGCTCACTGTCTGCAGTTGCTGGAAAATTGGGGATGACTGGGTGGTCTAGCTCATGGGGTTACCTAGCTCTGGTCACACAGCAGTAGAAGTCCAGGAATGGTAAGGAGGCCGACCCAGACGTCCATGCTCTTTTCAAGTTTTCTTCCATTACATTTGCTCAAATCCTTTGGGGCAAAGCTGGTCTCAAGTCCAACCCAGAAGTCAAGGGATGGATAAATACTCTTCCTCTCAATATAAAGAGCTATAAAATCCCATTGCAAGGCCTTGGATTTATGAAGAGGAAGAAATAGCCGTCTATGCAGTTTCACCATAGTAACCCTGAATTTTTTTTTTCCTATTACAGAATATTTAGTGAATTTGATGAAACCTATAGACAATCTTTCTAGAAAACCAGATGAACCATTTGCTTTTAGGGTCAGGGATGCTCTATCTATGGCCTATCAGTGAACTTCTTGGGGGTCCTTCATCAAATGAAAAACAGGCTTGCTATGTTTCAAAGACACTGTGGGAATTGTATCAGTTCCTCATTTAAAATTCATCAAGGAAATAAAAGGCCATAAGGAAAGCCGGGGAGAGTTTACTGATAAAATGCTGTGTTTGCCCATTTTCTGAATGAAATTTATCAGTCACTGATGATCCTGGGTTAAGAGATTCACTTGATGCCTCCTAGGAAAGTATGACAGGCTTTTAAATCCCTTGAGCCGGCTTGCGGTTTTCTGAGCGGAAGGGCCTTGCTTGCCCCAACTTTTAATAGAAAGCCAGCATTTAAGCAAAGGTAAACATTTACCCAACAACAGTAAAGCAAAGTGATTTTGGAGAAGGGCAAAGGGGACAGAGGACGTAATTTAAAATCCATGTCACCAGTGGCTGACAATTTATTGCCATCCCAGCCTCTACAACTGCTACTTCATTAATCCAGAGTCATTGTAGCGGCAGGCTTTTTTCACATCAGTAACTTGATGCCATTAGTAGCTCCTCTGGGATGAGAACACATTTAAACTGAAAATGAACACGCTGGGCATAATTTATAGCCATGCCACATGGATGCCAAGAGTGCAGGGAGGAAGTCTGCCTGGCTGCCGGCTCAGGATGGCGACGGTGCTCAGGGCGTGGCCCTCCAGCTAGGGGGGGCAGGCAGCAGACCCCACTGGAGCCTGACAGCCACAGGTCACTGAGGCCCCTCAGTCAGGCCTTGCTGCGAGAATGAAAAAGCAATTCCAGTTGTCAAGACCTGCCCTGAATCAGTCTGGACAATTCTTTCCTAGTCCAAAAGGGAGATGTTTTGCTCTCCCAAAGTAGCCCCTCTGGGATTCTGCAGGAAGACTGCATGTTGTCTACGGAGCCCCACAAAATCCTCATGACAAGCCATCATTGGCGAGAGCTTCAAGAAGACACTGAAGCCCTCCTTTTCCCAGAGGTCTAGAAGAGATCTGCTGGCTTATGGGAAGAGCCAGCAGCACCCCAACTTTTTGAGCTTCCTAAGCATCAAAATGCTATTAACTCACAAGCAACATACTCAGATCTAATCCAAAATATACTGAAAAAACAATTCTCTGCCTTCCATATTTAGTTCAGCACTCCCAGCCTCCTTGCAGGGAAACCAGTCACTGATTCTCCCTTCCCCTTTATCAGGGAAATAAATTGATTCATCCTCTGATGCTTTTCTTATCCAGGACACTTTTATTTTTCATTTGTTCTCAGCACCTTTGCCAGCACCTAACGTTTCGTTCCTCAGCTGCTGCTGAGACCCCTCGGTGACCTCACGGGCGTCATCCCTCCCTTCTCCTCCAGGAAATGCCTGCTTCAATGTTTCCCCTTGAAGTTTCTCAGAAACTAAGTATGGCACCCAGAGTCAATCTTCAGATTCATGTTGAACCTTGCTGACCCCCCTCCAAATCTGCTACACTAGCAGGGGTGGCCTCCTCGCCCAGACCCTCTGGACGATGCCCCTGCTCTGCCAGTTCCTTGTTTTGTTCATACTGGCTCCATTTCCTTTTAACCTACCTATTTACCTACTCTCAAAGTTCTAGTGCAAGACTTCTTTTTCTTTTTGTAATTCACATGTAATCTATAGCTATAATTATTTTTGGTGTTCAAATTATATCATCTTTGGTCATTGGGATCTTCAAGTTTGTTCCC